ATGAATTTGTGAAAATTGAGTTAATTGTTTTCGTCAGATCTGTTTTAATCAAAAATGTTATTAATTACAAATTGAACATATTGTTTAATTATTTGTAATAAGGAACATGAACCTCGATATTTCTAAAATGAGGTACAAAAATCCAAAAAAATTGTCATTTAATTTCCCTGTACATATATTTGCAAATTTTATATAGGGGCTTAAACACATAGAACGAATTCACGAGGGAGCGAAAGGGTTCTCTTAATCGATCCGATTTTTATCAGCTCGCCAAGACCATTTATGGAATCGAGGCTACAATTTATTCGAAATAATGCAAAATTTATGATACACGCGGCGATATATTTCACAGACATTCGTTTGTACAGATAGATGTGCAGCCGGTCGGCGACACAAAGCATTCCAGTCGGGATAACCGAACTGAATAACGGGTCCAGATATTGCTACTCGACTCCCTTGTGCCGGTAGGTAGGTAATTGCTATGGTAGGATGCCTTTGCTATGGAGGACGAGGGAATTCGCGATATTCGCTCTTACGCCAGGTATCTGTATCGTGGTATAGCGTTACCGCTCGAGACAAGATTGAAATTGGCTTTTGGAAATCATCCCTTTCCTCCTTCTCGCGAAAGACAAGGTGACACATTTTTACGGAGGCGTAGATTCCCGCCTTTTCAATGACTTTTTTATTTTTTTCATTCTCGTACAATTTAAAAAATATACACAATCTTGACTGCATCACTTGTGTGCTCTGTTTTTTTTTTTTTAATGATTTTTTTATCAGTAAAGCTAGGAATGAATTATTAGCACAGCTATACATTAGAAATCAGAGCGAGATTGTGGATATTTAAATATCAATCACTATGGAAAAGTTTTGTTACACTTGATATACACATAATAAAGGATTCATCCTGTATTTCTTCTCATCATAAAGAGATCTTAAAGAGATAATTTATTATATCCTAATAAATAAGAAAACTGTCTTACTCCATATATTTATATATAAACAGGTGATAGAAATTTTGGATCGCTACAAATAACGCGGAGAATAGGACAACAAACTCCGCTCGTTCGAAAAACTGCGTGGTCGTCTCCGCTGCGCGAGAGACATTTCGCGGTAATTAATCGGCACTTTAATCGTCATCTCTTCCCTATCCGATCCTATAATAACAGTTTGACAGGGATCTAATTGAGTCTCGTGCGCGCGCGCGCAGCGCGAAGGGTAGGTTCCGATATAATCTAGGGTCCCATGAATCACGAGTAGGAGCGGAGGCTCACGCCCGCTCTCCTACGCAAACAAAGAGGCAACCCTTTGCGTGGAAGAGTCGAGGGATGCGGCGCCCAAAGGGCATTAGCATCCTCGGCGAGGACGACGTGCGTACAAGTCGTCGTAGCTGCTGCTGCTGATGCTCCTACGCGGCGTCTTAGATCGAGACAACCCCATGATTTTGTCTCCTCGGTATTCATGAACGTAGGGCGCGGTCTTCCTTCATGAATTTACAATCGACAGAAGGAATCTCGCGGCAAGAAGTACCTGTCGGCGCGATTGAAAAACTGTGCCATGCGTATGTATAAAGTCCGCGAGAGATATCAGCTGCGACAGAGAGATTTATATATATATATATATATAGAGCATCGTACCGGCTTTCTTTTTAGATCGTTAGCTAGACTCAATTTCTAAGTATTTTACTTTCCCAAACCTGCACTGAAAAAAATTATTAACTCGATTAAACTTTTCAACTAAATTGCTGTTTTGTTAATTGAGCATGTACATTAGTATTTAAATCAAATGTACATTTTGTTAGATTTAATTTAAATATTTTTATTTATGTTACATTATTATTAACAAAATAATATTTAGTTGAAAGGTTTAGTCAAGTTGACACATTTGTTTCAGTGTGCTTTAGCAAACTCTAGACAGTTTTAAATATTATATTTATTAAAATTCCTCATATACATTTTGATATCTATTATATATTATATATTTAACTTATATTATTCACAATTGAATTATATAATAAATATATAATACAGAGAATTTTCTCTTAGAATTTACCCTCTGAAAATCATAGTAATCGTGAGACAATATATGGTATTGACAGAATTTTATAAAAGTTTCTCCGATTAAACATTTACCACAATAAAAAATATCAATATCTATCACAAGATATAAAATATATTAATCAGAGAAACTCTTATATAAAATTCTTCCAATACCATATTGTGTCCCACGATTATCATGATTTTCCGAGTAAATTCTAAAAGAGAATTCTCTATCTTTTTTTACAATATATATCCAAAATTTTTGTGCATTGAGTATTTTCTAGTTTGATTGCCTGCTATTTTGTTGTATCGCACGCTGTACATTATCTCGCAGAGAAATGGAGCTCGCTGCAGCAGACAAGCCCGTGCGATTGATTTAAAATCACCATGGAGATCATAGCGAGAGAGCACATATGCTACATGTTGTTCGTACGTGGGGGGATGGCGTGGAATTTATCATCGGAAATAGTTAACGAAGCGGACAAAGCTGCTTTGCAGCATCGCAATTGATGGCTCGCGCGATGGATTACGAACTATAATCCGACAATGAAACATACTGCGCATTAACGATATTTCTTATCGTTATGATCTCTCATTTGTATAGGAATTCGATACGGAGAAACTATACCTATAGTAGAGCCACATATTAACGTTATAAAAAAAATCACACAGTAATATATACGTTTTATCACGAGAGAACACATTGTAATTATACATATTTTGATGTCCGAAACAAATTTATAATTTTTATACTCCAATGTATTTGATGAACAGTAAAATGTTCTCCATATACAATATAATTGGACCGAAAAAAGATGAGAGATCGCCTTCCTATATAGCTTTTTATAAAATTCGACAAAGTTTTGCTCTTTCGAAACTTGAAAAGCTCTCGTTCGTATTGTCAAGATTCCTTAAATCAGCTGATCATTTCAAGTTGCGCGCAGCTTTCCTTCGAATTTTCCACGAATATTGTCCGTGGGTTTGAATGAAAAACTTCAGTATATCCTCGGTATATAATCGCATCAAACGACAACAAATCTGCAGCGGCGGAATATAAGGGTGCGAATTGCGGGACCGAAGGGGATCAACCGGTGCAGCGCAAGAGGGATCGAGGGAGGAAGGCGATCGTAGGCAGTGTCACGTGCTGCTGTCACTAGCACGGATTATATTATATAGGAATGGCAGCGAATAGGTGTAGATATAAGTACCGAGCGGCAGTTAATAAATATGATAATGGCGGGCGGAATGAGAGAAAGAGAGGAAGGGGCGCGATATGGGATACCACTGTATAAGAGTGACCACCGGGAAGCGGGAGGCCTGTCATTGTCAGGACCTCTCGTCGTATGTCACGCGACACGTAGACACACAACACACACACACACACATTGTACATGTATATGGCGTAACAACACGTGAAAGAGCGCGTTTTGTTTCCCGATTCCCTTCTTTCCACGTGAATCCTGATCGATGTGGAATACGCTTTGAACCAAATTTTTCTTTTCAAGAATTGAAGATGTATGGATCTTTCGAAAAATTTAAATAAGGGTCAAATGAAATTTGTATATATTTTTAAGGAATATTTTCCTTATAATTTTTCCCTTAATTTTATGTTTTAAGATTTAAATGATAATACATTGTTGGAACAATCTATTGAACTCTATTATATGAAATATTTTTAATATTATCACATGGTTTGTCTAAGACTTAATTATTATCTTTTAGATACACGGAGAGAATTTTCTCTTAGAATTTACCCTTGAAAATCATGGTAGCCGTGGGACAAATCGTGATACTGGAAGAGTTTCTCTGATTAATATTTATCATAATAAAAAAAATATTAACAGCTATCACAGTAAGATGCAAAATATATTTAATCAGAGAAACTCTTATAAAATTCTTCACACGATTACCATGAATTCTCTTGAATTAGAAAATTATTTTTTACTTACAATGATGAAACTCTTATTTTCACAAATTTCCTCAACCCTACGTTCGTGTAAAGAGTATAAATTAATAATAATTCATTTCTTGACCCAGTAATTTGTGCATTAAACTTAAACTACGTTCTCTCTTTGATATCGCGATCTCGTCTTCTCTTCTCGGGAATAATTAGTCACGGTGCGTTTAATAAATCACCCCCATCCTTTAAGCCGTGCCTCCCTTTTGGAAAATATCCAATAACGACCGGCTGACTCCGCTCGATACCTGTAGGTATTAACCTACGTCGGAGAGATCGGCTTACCTTAATAATTGTAGGTACACGTTCGCGGGAATTGTGCCCCCTTTCTCGTCGGGGGGTTGGTTTCACCCCTCGCGCAGGGGTGTTTCCATGGCGTCTCATCCGGCGGCCGCCAAAGGTGCGTCGTCAAGGCGAAGTGATCGAAAATCGCGAGAGATGTAATGAAACATTCTTAGCGCGACGAGGGCTCGTATTTTGATTGGTGAATGGTACTCCTTGTCCAGAGCGTTCCTGAGAGGACCTAATAAGTTTACTTGTGTAAGATCGATATAATCTAGGAAATTTATTGCACGATTTATTAAATTATTCGACTTCTCGTTTAAATTAAAGAAGATAAGAGCTCACATTTTTGTGCGATTATATACTATTTTTCGTTAAAAATTGAAACATTCCTTCATATGGAATAATTTAATAAATGTTCTACATTTTTCAAAGTAGATTAATAAGAATAATATTTAATTTAATATTTTACAATAATATTTAAATTGTTAATATTAAATAATTAATATTAAAATTTATATATTGTTCGAAATAAATATTATATTAAATATCATATAATTACATTATAATTTAATGAAATAATATGCAGATAAATATTTTTAACATCGAAAGAGAAATGTTTATCTTGATTATTTATTGTTCTCTCGGGTGAACAGAAACGAAAGAACGAAAAAGCGAGAAAGTAGAGAAAATAATGCAGACAAGATGTAAACGAGATTCAGTTGGCGTTTGAATAAGTATCGTGTTTTATTAATATCTCTCTTATTATTTACAAAATTTTATAATAATCTCTAGCTGTGTGATTTTCTCATCATGACACGCTACTCACTATCGTCGATCCTATACTTTTTTTTTCTTTATTCTGCGTTAATCGTTATAATGTAATGCTCAATAATGCTCGTCCTCGCTAAATCGTTTATGTAGAAGTTGAACATCTCTCGCTCGATTTAGAAATTCGTTGATTTGACACACAAGCACACATACATACACACACGCACGCACGCACAACACCATTCCTCACATGCGCACGTGTCACTTACGACAAACGTGTATTTACAATGTGTCATTTACAATCGAGTATGCGAAATTGTAAACTTTACATTTGTCCTAAGATTCTCACTTGCGGAAACGTTCCGATTCGTTCCTCTCACATACTTTTCTTCCCTCAACTTCTCGTTTTTTCCTGCAGGAAACAAAATTCCCTCCCTTCCTTTCAAGCACTATTGTACATAAATAAAATCACATATCCTTTTTTTATTCTCAACAAATTAAGATTATTATATATTACCTTTTGTTTAATTTATAAGATGCATTACGTGACTGTAATAAAATTTCAATGGAACATATGTTTCGTCATCTATGTGACAACGTCGTAAATTCCAGCAACTAATCGAGTAAAATTTGTTTCATCTGTAGACATATAAAAGCATAATATTAAAACAAAACAAATAAATATTAATATCTTCGTCTTTATAGAAATCGGTATTCGACAAATTTATGAAACACAAAGACTGTTTTTTTACATTCTTTTTTTTTTCTCGCTCGACACCTCTGGCCGTGACGAGATTTATGACATTTATAAATAATTGCACTCTCTTGTTTTGCAAAAATAATAAATTTCAGGAATTTTTCGAGCAGGATGAGAATGCTAATTCATAAAAAATCATGGAAAATCTCATTTCGCGTTTCATATTGTAATCGGTATTTTTTTGATTGGCCGTGCATCGGTATATAAAAATGTCATGTCCCGACAGACGAAATAATATATGCGTCGATGTAACAGTATATCGCGTATATTTGCATTTGCGGACAATGCGGAGCGCAGAAATATCTCGTCCTGGATTCCGTCGAACGTTGTTTGACGAAATCCCGCGCGTAACGCATTGTTCGGAAATGACTTTCCACGAGTCGACACAATGTCCGGCTCTCGCGATGTCGCGTCGGATGTCGCGTCGCGTTCGGCTTGAAATCGCAGTCACAATCACCGCGGGGGTGTACTATTTCGTAATTCGAATCGACGGGTTTCAATCCATCGAGTGGATGCACCGGCAACGGTAATTCGGTGCGAGGCGAACAATCCGTTTTCTCTCTCTCTCTTTCTCTCTTCGTTGCACGTAGCGTGTTTTATTTCCCAGCGTATGTTTTACACAATGTCGTGTTATTTCCGCGCGAGACACTGCAAACGAATTTGAAAATATATACGAACGCGATCTGCGGAAATTACATTTTTTTCGCAGATGAAACGCTCTCCCGAAAAACAGGCGTATATTTCGACGAAAGAATCGATGCAAAAATCAGTTGCTTACATTATATGTTGTATGTGTGAATATTACGTGTTTGAATATTTTATAAATATATAGAAATTTCTGTTTTCTATTCGATCAAATGTGAAATTTGACATTATAAAGCAACAATCTGTTATGCACTTATCATGTAATGTCTTTAAGCGAAAATGATATTCGAATAAATCTTTGCCGAATGAAAATCGTAAATAAAGGGAATATATTATCGCAACATTTGGTATGTATGTATATAAAACAATTTTTTCTTGAATTTTTTAATTTTGAAAATATCTGATTTTGTTTTTTCGTCGGATTGCTTATAAAAATTTAGCTGGTAGTTTTAATTAAGTTTTGCAATTTTTTTTAACGTGTATATTTATTTTATTATATATGCAGAAAGAGTATAATGTTATTTAGTTAAATAAAACAGATCTGCAGCTATACGATGACTGTTCGATCAATTGCGTTTCTTTCCGAACGCGACTATTATTACCTCTCCCATTTGATTCTAACTAGTCGTTATCAGAATATATCATTGATATTATTTTTTTACAACCTTTTGTCATCTCTCTCACGACGTTTATTAATTTATCGAACGACCTGGGAGTTGCCATTTTAAATAAATAAAGTACGTTGTTTGGGAATTGTGTCATTTCGCATTACATAAAATACGTAGTCTTTGCGTTAACAAGAAAATACATCACCAAGATCTCCTTCTTCGCGAAACTTTCGATCTCTCCGCAAATAAAAACATTTATAGCGGCTGGCTTCCTTTCAAAATGCAAGATGCAGATCCATCTTTTTCGACGAAGCGGTCGTTGCTAGAACTTGGCAACGAACACTCGACATTTGACAGATATAAAATCACGTGGCTCGATTACTGTGTATCGATGTACGATAATCCTGATTCGGAGTGTTCTCATCGTAATATCACCGATATCGGTCCATATCAATCACGAGCGCATAACTCACTGAGCATAGATAATTGCAAATTATCACACTAATAGTCCTTACAATCACTGAGCGTATACTCATCGATTGTCGATTGCTGCTGTAACAAAGTCGCACGATTAGAGCATGACTATGACTACGTCACACCCAATTAGACAGATTATCCTCTTGATAATCGCGAGCGCAGCTTACGGACAGTCTTTCAGGCAAGATAGAGAAGAGAAAGATCTCTCGCGCGCAATCTCAAAGTCGAGTCTGCGATTTTACTGCCGTGTGCACTCTCAAGTCTTTAAAGACAGACAGACCCATCCCGCGACGCACAAAGCTGATGAGTCGCGGCGAGAGCTCCGGGTTCATCCCGGACGAAGCATCGTCCGTCGACGACACTTCCGACGATCAGTCGCGTCGTGACTCCCTCCCTCCCTTAAGGACTGTCGTCGGGTATGGCGTACCAAGCAGCCGGATCCGCGGCGAGGGCCCATGGGCCTGCGACGGAGGGATTGGCGTAGGCCGCGGCCCCCGCCGCGGATGGCGCGCACTACCAGGCGCGGCCCTGCAACGGTAGATACGCGCCGCACTGCGGCTGCTGTTGCTGCTGCATCCCCTGTTGGGCGCCGGCCCGCGTGTACGAGCAATGCTGCAGGCTCTGAGAGCTCATCACGTGGCTGACGCCTGTGGCCACGACCGAGTGATGGGACGAGGCGGCCGCGTGATGGGTGCCGTGCGGACTCGAGGCCGCGGTCATGTGCGGCGCCGGGCTCGCCAGGGCCGCGCTGGGCCCGCCGCGGCTACCTTCGTTCCCGCCGCCGCTCCCGCAAGGCTTGCCGTCCTTCACCAGCACCGGCACCGCGACCCGTCTCGGCGAACTCGCGCTCTGAAACAATCAATCATCCCGGGTGAATAAGGAAAATTTTTATTTATAAATATTTCATTGTGATGTCAACAGCAAAAAACATCTATAATTATTCATTTTAATAAGTATTTATTATATGTATATTTTTATTCAATTATTATGTCGATTATTGTATACGGAGAGAATTTTCTTTTAGAATTTATACTCTGAAAAGCATGATAATCGTGAGACGATATGCAGGATTGGAATAAGAATTTTATATGTATAAGAGTTTTTCTAATCAATATTTACTACAATAAGATAAAAAAAGATGTTCGATTAATTTTCCTATGTATATATTAATATTTTTTATTGTGATAAAAATATTAATCAGAGAAACTCTTATAAAATTCTTCCAATATCCTATATTGTCCCACGATTGTCATGATTTGCAGGGCAAATTCTAAGAGAAAATTCTCTCTGTGTACGTTTAAAAAAATTTGTACCTGTCATTTAAGGAACAAAAAATATATAAAACATTATATAAAAAATTTATATAAATGTTATATAACCTTTATAAATATAATTATATAAAAAATTATATATTATTTCAATTTTATTGTACGTTTAAAAAAAATAAATATTTGTGCCTATGTCATCTCCATAAAAATATAAAAGGGGGTAAAATATAATATTTTATTATATAACGAAACTATTTCCATCATTATTTTCGACAATCTGCATTTGAAATGCATCCACCACTGGCGGACAGGCAACAGCACGAGCCGCTTCATATGTCGTCGCATTACCTCTCGAAATGCAATCGCTACGAGTACCACGAGATGCCAAATGCGATCACACCCTATGAACAATTACTGATTATCGACCGGCGTCGATTAATTAACTCTCGCGATTAAAATTACTTGTAAGCATGGACGCGAGACGAGGGTTATTTATCAACGCAGCTGTTTCGCGCAATTTATTCATTTCAAATAGGAATTGGAGCAATATGGGCTGAAAATCATGTTCCGATTAAAATTATTATCTGATCTCGCGATTTATATATAAGCAGAAAAATATTCAATATTCAAAGTTATTTTTTTTAAACGAATACTTTCGCATTTAAATATTTCTCATCGTGCTTTTCATTTAAACGTATAATCTATTTAAACGTAAAACCATTTTTAAATTAAAAGTGCATAGTAATACTGTATGTATATGCTTATACATAAATATTGCAGATCAGATAATAATTTTAGTCATAATATAATTTTCCATTCTATTATTGCTTCGATTTTTATTTCAAATGAATAAATTACGGAAAGTAATACCTGAATGAAATGATTAAAGTATAACGCAAAATTGCGCGTAATCAATTGTTCATTAATATTAATAAGTATTTCGCGGAATTCACGCTTGCAAAATGTATCAAATAAATTTTAACTTATACATTTATTGGTGTATATATTGTAATATTAGAAAAGTCCTATAACATTATATTATTATATTATTTCTTATAAAGCACTCGTAAAAAGTACATAAAAGTGCTAGGAGCAACAGGTGTAACGATAAGTGAAGTTTATCATATATATTTTATAAAGCAATAGTTGTTTTTAAATTATCTTACACATTGATTAATTACACGCATATCGACCATTATATATTATGAGATTCCAAATAACTTGTATATTATATTAAAAATAATTCTTATAATATGTTTTAAATGATATATATAATATATAATAATGAGATAATTATATCGACACATGGAAATTCATAAGCATAAATATAAGGAAAAACATGAAAAATCTATACAGCGATATTGCGATTGTGCAAGAGCTCATTATATCTTGTTTTGGATTTTATGGCATACTGAACTTTAAACATTACGTTATCAATAACTAAAGTTTTTTTTCACGAGTTCGATATGTCTACTGATGTATAATTCTACATTTTCGTTACGTCATCATTATTGGATTATCTTGCTATGCTAAACGATCCCACGTCATTCGACCACAAATCAATATTGGCTGCAAATAAATGCGCTTAGTACTGATTCTAATTTTAATTTTAATCAGAAATTCAAGAATTTATTTCGCGACGTAAAATATATTAATTTTAATTTTTAAAAAATATTCGATCGAAATGATACAAATATATATATTTTCCAGATCATATCTGACTTTTTTTACCGTGTTATTTTAATTATAAATTATCTTTTCCACTTTGTTTGTGAATTAAATTTTTATTTGTCATTAAATATACTTAAAAAAAAACTATTAAGAAAATAATCTGATGTAAACAGTTTTTTTTTCATTACCGTCTCTATTCAAAGTTTAATATCAAAGTTCAATAATTGAAGAAGTGAGAATTAATTATATAACACATTCTTATAATACTAAATACATTTTAAAAGATTCAAGAGGAAAGAAGAGTAAGAAAATCTTAATGTACAATATATAGTTTGTGATAGCCGATTCTAGCCTTGACAGTTAACGTATTGAATCATTCTGTAGAAAAGAGTCTTGTATCTTGAAAATAGACAGAAAATACACATCATTAAAAGATGTACTTGAATATAAATATCGGTGTCATATAGTATAAGCACTGTGTGACATTCATTGCAAACAATGCGTAAATAAAACACACATATACACAAGTATATCTACCCATTATAATATCTATAAAGCTATTAATACAGCAATTAATTATATATAAATAAACATATTTCTTAGAAGATCCTAACAGACATTAAAATTTAAAAAATGTATATATTGATTATCGCGCAAAAAAGTTCTATTGTGCTTTCATTTTTCCTTAAATCGCTCATTTGACAGTTTTGCATCACTCAAAAAAAATATATACAAAATTACACTTATTATTTATGTAATTTTACGTATTTTTTTACAGTGATTAAGATAAAACGTGACTCGTCAAATAATCGCATAGATTCGTCATTTGCGTCTTCAAACCAGAGATACTTAAATCTAAAACTATTCCGTTAACAAGTTAGATTTATAATAATCTCGTCGGAGTTTTCTTGAATGAATAAGCTCGTTCGTGCACTATCAAACCCGTTTCTCATGGATGATCGAAACGCCATCGTTTACCAAAGGTTCCTTGCGGCACACAAGTGCACACATGCACTTTAAACGTGTACTCTGATGCACACACATGTACCGTGCAATTTCCTCGACTCGACTGGACGGATGCTGCGTGAACAAACGCGGGATATATACGTGGGCCGGCAAGGACCTGGGCTAAGCGCTTCTGTGTTCCGAGCAAACATGCGCAACGCGGTAGGCCCGGTAAAGACACTTAACCCGCACGATATCCCGTGATCAGCATTCACGACTAGACGTGGAACGCACGATGGACTCTAGTTACGTATAAACAGTACCGGCTACCGTGGACAGACCCGATATGAAACTTGTCCGATCTAAGAAAATATGAATACATATATATCTACATAAATATATTCAAAATATTCGAGACCTTTTTGGTTTTTTCAATTCCTTAGATTCAAAGAGATTATTATAAAATTTCAGAGATTTGCAGAGAGAAGCATTTTTTTAGAGATGTATTTATCTGAAAATTTGACAAAATAGAAAGCAAAGAAATTATTTTCTATATTATGAGAAAAATATAGTTTTATATGATTTTATTTAGATTTTAATGAGATGAAGTTTGGGTGTAATTTTTGAAATATGTGAGTTACATTAATCTTATTTTAATATTAAGACAATCAAGAAATAAGAAATTGAATTTAAAATGTAAATAGAAATATTATCAAAGAATAAGACTTCATCTTGAAACAGACTTTTATATAGTAACTATCATCATTTAATAATTGCTCTATACTCTATATATAGAATTAAATTCTTAAATTTGTTAATAATCAATTTTCTTCGTTCTTGTCTACTCTAAATTAAACATGAAAATTTTGCAGCCATTGAAACATGCGCGGAGAGAATTTTCTCTTAAAATTTACCCTGAAAATCATAGTAATCATAGCGCAATATATAAATAGTATTGGAAGAATTTTGTAAGAGTTTCTCTGATTAATATTTACCACAACAAAAAATATCTATCACAATAAGATATATAAAATATATTAATCAGTGAAACTGTTATAAAATTCTGCCAATACCATATTGTCCCACGATTACCATGATTTTTCGGGTAAATTCTAAGAGAAAATTCTCTTTGTAAAAAGAGAACGTTAATATCTTTCCTATTTTTTCTATTCGACTGAAAATGCGGGATTACAATCGTAATATGAGAGAAATCGCGTTTTCTATTCGCACAGAATCCGTAGGCGTATAGAGACAGCCCTGTTCTGTACGTCAACCCCACGAGGCTCTACCACGGCATACCAAACAGAAGCCGGAGCAAGCAGACCGAATACCTGCCAGAACGACCACTCAGCTGTATCAACATTCGGTACACGACATTCCTCTTCGATCTCCTCTGCCAGTGAGACTTTAATAATACGATCGCGCTGAAAAATAACGTCCTCTGCTCTCGCTCGACGACCGTGATTTCTCGCTGGTAATCAGCGTCTCGTCTTCGATCATCTCGTTACGTCATTCGTTTCTGTCGCGCGATCATGGATCGAACACGCGATCTTATCAAAATATACCTATATACTTTCTCAAACAACTTTAGTTTTTTATCGTCGGAAAAAAGTGTGATTCTCGGAAGGAATAAAATAATTGCAATCTCTCTTTTTTCTTTTTTTCAAGATAATGACGAAAAGAACTCTGAACTTTATTTCCGGCACTTTTACACAATTTGTTTGCGCGCGATTAAAAAAAGAGAGTGTCACAATGAATACGCATAGAAAAAAAAGAAAAAAACATGAGAGAGAGACAAATATATGAAGCAACCAATGGGAGTAGTGGCGAATAACTTTATGCGGGCAATGAATTTTTTGTCGCGCGAGAGCAGACACTTTTATGCAAATCCGTCCACTGTGTCGAGTGTCCGGGAGGTATACGACCGATTTGATTCGAGTGGGCCCCGGTATACGCGAACTTACG